TAGAGATAAGGTGGTCAAAGAAAACTTTTCTTAAAGGTGACATTTGAGAAAGACTCTGAATACAGGTTTTTAGTGTAAGAAGTTTGGATTTTATAGTAAGTGTGATTAGATGCCAAGGAGTATTTTCAGTAAGGAACATGAACAATTTGTTTTTTAAAAAAATCATTCAGGCCTCTATGTGGAGAATGAACTAATGGAGGCAAGTAGGGAATACAGATCAGTTAGGAGGCTACTGCCAAAGTCCAGATGAGAGAGAGCAGTGGCTTGGACTAAATGACTGTAGCAGTGGATGTGGCAAATTTTGCCCTGTTTTGGGATATATTTTGAACAGAGAGCCGACAAAACTTGCTATGTCCATGTAACCATAATAGCACTTATAATAGTCACTGAAAATGTAAATTGCTCCTTTTGTGCTCTTAAAATATTTTATGTTTTGAGTTTTACTACGCTCCAGATTTTTAAGTGTCCACCAGTGTGCATTCATTTAAACCCTATTATTATGTTAACATATCTTAAAAAGAAAATACCTATCACAGTTAAATTGGATTGAAAAATTAGAGAATTTTTATCAGGTTACCAAGTATTTTTGTGCAGACTAACTAACCCATTGCTGTCGAGTCGATTCCAACTCTTAGTGACCCTATAGGACAGAGCAAAACTGACCGTAGAGTTTCTAAGGAGAGGCTGGTGGTTTTGAACTGCTGAACTTTTGGTTAGCAGTCAAGCTCTTAGCCACTGCGCCACCAGGGCTCCATGAATAATGTGTGCATAGTTTATATATACTATGTGCCTTGTAAGGAGCCCTGGTGATCTACTCCTGTAAAGATTGCAGCCTAGGAAACCTCGTGGGCCAGTTTTACTCTGTCCTATGAGGTCACTATGAGTGGAATTGACTCAGCAGCACACAACAACACTGTACCTGGTACAACTACATGAACCCTTACCAAAGATCTTAGAATATTTCATTGTCAACATATTGTTTACATGAGACTAGATACACAGTAGATGCTAAATAAATGATTATTCATTTCTTAAATGATATCCTTGATAAGCATTTGATTTAAAAGGTTACCAGAATTGGATTTCTTCTTTTTTTTTTTCTTCAGGCATTCTTTCTTTTATAAACAAATGGATTGCTGGTTTCAATAACCATGACAAACCTACTATCATAATTGATCTTAGTATTAATATGGGTATTGTTAATGTTTTTTCATTTTGCTTCAATTATATTTTCCCCCTTGAGTTAAATGAATAATTTCAACTCACCATCTTTGTATTGCTACACACTCTAATTATAGTCTTAATTTTTTACTGAAAGAGTATTAAGTAGTTCACTCGCTGTTGGATGCAAAACTTAAGTCAGGATGAATAAAACACCCATGTTTACAACTTATAGCTCCATTTGTAACTGAATCAATACTAAGTAGAATAATTGGTGATTTTATTAAGCTTCACATATAGCTATACTCCTGGAGTTACATTCGGAATGAAAACTCTAGGGAGCACATGTAAATTCAAGATTTTTGAAGCTTGAACCTAGCGTATGGTTTATAGTTTATGGACTTTGTAATAGTGTTGGCAAATACGGCTAGATTTTGTTAAAGTTGTTTTGGCTGGTGAAGAAGAATTTTCCATTTTGTTTTGATAAACAGCTTTGTGAAATCAATGAAACTTGATGGTTTAAACATTATCTTTCATACATTGCCTGATTGTAAAATCGATTGACAAATGAAAGTGGTGAGGCACTCAGTGAAGGCTTCATGAAGGGAAGTACAAACGATTTTTATGCGTCTATCCAAACCAGTTCTTTTAAAATCAAGTCTGTCTTTCAGGATACGCATTATTATGAATATATTATTGATTCTAGATGGTTTGGATCAAACATTTAAAAAAAAGCCTTGCTGAGACAAAAATATTTCCTCACTTGGACTGTGTGTAATAAAATCTCCAGACTAGAATATTTGAGGAAGAGGGTATTCTGATTAATTAAAGTTTTTGTTTATTGATGGTCTTTTGTTGTGGTGATGTTGAAAAATGTTTCCAAATATACTCATTTCCATTTTCTGTTTTAATACCATATCTAAGGCTGTAATCTTTACAGAATCAAACTGCCACATCTTTCTTCTACAGAGCCGCTGGTGGTTTCGAACTGCCGACCTTTTGGTTAACAGTCAAGCACTTTAACCACTGTGCCACCAAGGCTCCTAACTCATCTCTGTTTTCTGTTTTAATACAGTAACTGCAAAACACAGCAAAAAAATTATTGAACGACACCAACTTTATTGAGTTGAGGGTGATTTTATGAATACCAATTATAATTGTTTTGTGTAGCAATTAAATATTATTAAATAACATTTTTTGCAAGATGTTGTGCTATAAAGCTCAGCAGATACAAAATAATATTAATATGTAGCTCCTGTGTTCAAAGAGTGTATAGTCTTTTATAGGTATATCAACAGATTACTGTAGTTTAGGGCAACATATGTCCTTTATGCAAAATTCTAAAAATAATTCTAAATATTTAGACTATGTGGATTATTTAACTGAATGTACAGCAACAATAAGAACTTACTATGAATTAAAAAATCCAGATTCAAATATTTTCCTATTATTTACTTCTCTTTTTTCATATATGCATAATGGAAAACATGCTAAAGTACATAGTTATTTTAAATACTTAGTTTTCAGATGATTGAATTTTTACATTGCAAGAGATAATGGTCAGTCTTGGATATACCAAAACCTGTGGCTGTCTAGTCGATTCCAACTCATAGTAGAACTGCCCCATAGGGTTTCCAAGGAGCAGCTGGTAGATTTGAACTTTTTGGTTAACAGCCGAGCTCTTAACCATATTGGACACAGCTCATAAAAATTTACTTTTCACATTCAGCTCCAACTCGTGGTGACCTTATATATAATAGGATGAAATGTTGCCCAGTCTTGTGCCATCTTGTCATATAGGAAAGGTTAAATTCCAGTTAAGTTACATGTTTTTGACCTTTGGTTTTTTAACTATTCTGCCTGGTTGCTTGGCAGTCTTTATTCAGTTCAAAATGAAACTGCAAAAGTGATCATGTGAACATTTTACTTGTTCTATAGAGGGTCCTTTATTATAAAAACTAACAAACGCTCAGAAAAGAAATGAATTTCCATTGATAACTACAATAGTATTCAACATAAGCAGGAGAAAGAGCCGATTCATGCACGTGCTTTTTATCAGTCAGGATCAAATTTTCAGGTATTTGTTTCTCTTCAGTATTTTCTAGAGGCTCTCTTGGTAATACTCTTAATCCATAATCTTGATTTTATTTCCCCTAGAAAATTTATAACCATATATTTATAAACTCATTAAATATGTCCATTGAGAAGGTTCTATTAGGTGGGTTTTATGAAATACAGATTTCAATTATTTTAAATTCCAATGAGAACAAACTTATGTTTTAAGACAAATACTGATGGTGGTTATTAAGCAGCAATAAACCTTGCTACGGGGCTCTGGGCACAGTGGTTAAGCACTGTCTGCTAACCAAACGGTCGGCAGTTTGAATCCACCAGCCGCGCCTTGGAAACTCTATGGGGGCAGTTCTACTCTACTCTGTCGTATAGGATCACTATACGTTGGAATCAACTCGAAGGCAATGGGTTAAACCTTGCTACACCACTCGCAAAATATATCTAAAGGCCGTATTCCAAATTTTTTTTTGAGGTTTCTTTTAATTGACAATAATACTTGTAATTAAAATATCAGATATAAAAAATCCATATGTAAACATCCAAATGAAAAGGTTTCCAAAATATTTAATATATTCTGAATTTCCCTAGTAAAGCATGAATAAATTTTGGGAGAAGCATCTATTAATATAAATGTTATGATTTTTCACATCATCTTCCTTCTGAATGTGTTATAACAGACTTAGTTATTTTTCCCACTGGAAATGTATGTTTAACTAAATTCTGGAAGTGTTCAACGTAGCCTAGTATAATAGAAATATACTGTATTTAGGATTACGAGGAAGTCTCTAGGTATCCTGAGCATCTCTCTCTCTAAATAATAATTTATGTTGTTATGCTAGCTACTTTAATGTCTGTATGTCAGCTTTTTTATTTGTAAAATCTGATTAACACCATCAACACATAAATATGCTTTAAAATTTAATTAGATAATAAAATAAAGATTCAGAAATACATGATTTAACAACAGAAACTACAGGTTAAGTGCAGGCTTATTCTCTAACTTACCAAGTGATTACTAAAAACATTAATTAGTTCATAATGTGGAAAAGATTATTATTAAATGGATGCCAAGACATATTTCTTCTATTATTGAGAAAATTTCACATTTAATTGTAACAGCTTAAAATTATGTGTGTGTGTGTACAGTACATATATGCACGGCATCATATGTAAATATATATAATGATAAAATTATACATTTGTTACCCAATATTTTAAGGAGTCCTAGTGGTACAATTGTTAGCGCTCAGCTGCTAACTGAAAGGCTGGCATTTCGAACCATCCCAGTGGCTGCGTGGGAGAAAGTCCTGGGAATCTGCTTCTAGTAGATCCTGTGAGGCAGTAAATCCTATGGGACAATTTTACTCTGTCACATGGGGTCACTCTGAGTAAGAATCAACTCGACGGTACCCAAAAACAACATCTGATAATTTAAACAGTTTATCCGCCATACACTGTTATCTTTCTCAAATGATTGCCCTATACCTGCTACCTTAGTCCTCACAATATGTTCACTCTCTTACCTCCTGCAATTTTAATTTCCTATAAATCAGGATTAGATTTTGCCGCAAGTAAAAAGAAAAAAAAAATGATAGTGGCTTAAATAAGATAGACTAAAAGCATAAAGTTACATGGTCCATGGGTAGTATGATGACTTTTCTCAGTGAAGTCATTCGGGCACCAGATTCCTTTTGACTTATTTCTCTGCCATCTCTAAAGTGTGTACCTCATTCTTAGGGTCCAGAGAGTGGTTCAAGTTTAAGCCATCCCATTTGCATTCCAGGTGGCACGTTGGAGGAAGGTATGAAGAAGAAAAGAGACAAAGGCAGGCTCCAACCAGAACTAAAGTAAAGTTTTTGAAGGTGTCGTACAGCATGTCAAATTTTAGTCCTTTGGCAAACTTACCTGCAAGGAGAAGAGAGAAATGTAATCGCTACTTAGGAGGGCCACCTACCCAGCCCAAAATTGGTTGGTCTATTACTGTTAAAGAAGGAGAGAATGGATATTGGGGATTCTGTCTTTGCTATAGTATCTATGCTTATCACTCTATAAAAACTGTATTCTCAAAGGCAGCAAATATATTCCAGCTTGGTTTATGAGGGGCTTGGCATGTAGGAGGGAATGAGGGAGAGAGTAGCTTGGAGATGGCACATCAAAGAGAAATATCTGGCATCATTGCTTTATTGTCATTTCTGTGTATATGACACACAAATGTGTATATGACCTTATTACCAAGCTCCACCTCCATGTTCCCACTGTCTGGAGTTTATATTCTGTATCTTGCTTAAATTCAGTATATTATGCAACAAGCTTAAAGAGATTCATTCACATCTATTTTCTTTAGCATACCTACTATTATTATAAGCTTCATAATATAATTTTTTTTAGTCCCTATTGAAGATAAGAATTGGTGTATTAAACAGTAAGGACTTATATAGGTCAGTATACAAACAATGAGAAGTAATAGATAAAAATCAGACTTCCAGAAGAGATAAAAATATATCAACACTCACCAAAAAAAAAAAAAAAAAAACCACATGTGTGCCCTCAGGTCACAGATGGACAGACTCAAGAGCCTTCCTCCAAAGGTGACAGCCTGGGATCAGCCCATTATACCTCAGGATACTAGTAAACACATGTAGTAATGATCCACTTGACATCAATAAATGTATATATTTTGTTACAAAGCCTGTTGTAGTATTTTTTATAAATATTTCAGTCTTTGTAATTGAGGTATTAAAGGCACAAGTTTTTATGTAGAAAATGTATCAAATTAGAACTGCATATTTTATAAAAGAAAAGAAATATCATTTTATAAAGTAAAATTTTTGTTACTTTCACATCTTTTGATTTTATTTATATCTGTAGAAGTATCCTGTTAGAAAAGAGAGTAATTATCAGTCCTAAAGAAAGTCATGTATAAATGAGATAAGATTTACGTGTTTTATGTGTTCACAGCAAGTGTGGTTATTCTGAGTTAGTCTTCTTGCTATTTGTTTCTGTTTTCTTATTCTCCTTGCTATATTACTCTCTGCGGTTAGTACATGCTATTTTGTTTGTTTAACTGAAATGAGGAATATAAAAGTGAAGATGTTTATCAGTGTGTGGGTATGTGGCTCTTGATGCATTAAAAATATTTTAATTCAGGGAATTGGGGTTGAGTGGGGTGGAATAGAGTGTTTTGAGGGAGATATTGTCATTGTACATGCCATAAAAGGTTATATAACTTCATGTATATCTTCTTGTCTTGGCAGTGTGTGCAGGAACAGAGAATAAACTGAGCTCTCTTTCTGACCTGGAGCAGCAGTACCGAGCCTTGCGCAAATACTATGAGAACTGTGAGGTAGTCATGGGCAACCTGGAGATAACCAGCATCGAGCACAACCGGGACCTCTCCTTCCTCCGGGTAAAGCTCTCTTCCTCTTATTTGTGAGTGGAAAGTGGTGTCACAATGCAAAGACAGACCTGTTTGTTTGTACCTGGGGGTTATGCTCTTCTTCCTGGCAGGGAACTGTGACTATAGGCAGGAGATAAGAGATACTGAAGCACACCAGGAAAATAAGAGTAACAATGTCATCATGACTGACATCCTGAGTTCAGAGCAGGTACTATTGTCCTGAGATTGATAGAAGATACTGTCAGGATGTAGTACATGACATGTAGCAAGTCTGCCTTTTTCTAAATTGCTAGCAAGGGGAAAGCTGTTAGGATTGGAGCGGGGATGGTGAGAGGGCTAATCAGATAAGAAATGGTAACTTTAGATGGCTGTCTCCTTTTGCCCTTTTTCTGTCATTTTGGACTTTTTAGGCTATTTCATGTTACCATAATGAGACTAAAACTGTTACTTACAGAAAAAAAAATCTGTTTTGGAAAATCTACAAATTATTTAGAGTCACAGGAAACCATAAGTACTTATATATTGGTCGATATATGTATGCACACAAATACATATGTATATACATGAAGTTGTACAGCGATAACGGGGTCGTTTTGCAGACATTTTTCTGGTTGTCATTTATCCTTACCCTGTTAAAGAAGTTATTAGTGCTAATGCCTATACTTTTAACAGGAATTATTATTAAAATTTTCTTAAGTTTTGCCTTAATCATAACAGGATAGGAAAATCTGAACTTCAGAAAGACTTTGACAAAATAAGATAGGGATGTGATGTTTCACACAACTTAATAATTGTTTTCTTTATACAAGAATTGATAGATGTATTTTATATAATAGCCTCCCTAGGATATATTTGATCCTGTTTTCTTTCAGTAATATTTATACACTTCTCAGGAGAATTGCCTTGTATGAATCAAGACCAAAATGTACAGAATACTGATACAGTAAAAAATTTTAGTGGGCAGTAAATTAGAGAACTACAGTAATTTTAATAATTCTATATTAGCTATATAGTTTTTAAAAAAGCAGTAGTCTTCAATACTTTGCATGTAATGACTATTTCTAGGACAGGTAACAGACTTTGAAAATAATCTACCTCCAAATTTAAATAACACTATGAGGCTTATGACTTTTTTTTTTATAAAATGGCTCTCCTCTCATGATTGGTATAGGCTTAGCTAATAGAGCTATGGTTCTACAGGTTAGGTGTGGAAACTTGTAAAAAATTATGGTATTTAATCATGACATCTTTGTTTATGAAAAGTAGATAGTAAAAGTCATCTGAATTGTGGAATGAGAACACCTAAAAAGAATTTAACCTTTTGTTTTGGATTGTTGTATCAAAGCGAGAGAACATATAAGCTATTCCAGAGAAATCCATTTCAAAGGACTACATCTGAATATTAGTTGTCAAAATTTGTCTGCAAACCTATAACCTGTCTTGATTATTATCAAATGGATTTTATTCTTAAGTATCAAAATAAAATCTTGGTACACTATGAGCTGATTCGTAGGGTTAGTTAGAAATGCCTAGAAGCTCAATGATGTTAAAGAAAAGGAAAACTAACTGGGAGAGCTGAATTCTGAACCAGGGAAAATAAATAGGTTAAATGCTTTCTGAGATCAGAATAATATGAGAAAATCTTTTAAAATACAATTGACAGAAGTGGAGTTCTCTTTATTTTTCTTTTTTGCTTTACTTTGTTTGCTATATCTTGAACTAAAGTTCTCTGATTTCTTAACAAAAAATAATCATAAGCATTTTAAGTGACAGACATTAAAATGACTAACAGGAACATTTTGTTATATATTTTATAATTTATAAGCTGTTTTAATGAGTCAAAGTGAATAGAATAGAGGATTCAGGAAAGGTTTCACCAAAGAAAAGCTTGAATTTAATCTTGAGACAATAAATAGAGACTTACCAGATAGGTGGGTGGAAGAGAGGGACATTCCAATGGGAGTAACATAAATCAAGGCTTAGAAGAAAGGCCCTAAGTCATTTAATGTACTGCCTTAGCCACTGGGCATATACATGTTAATAAATCATACTTGATTCCTTCCCCCTCATAGAACCTGCAGTCTAATGTGAATGAAGAGAAAGCTTGGGGATGGAATAAAATATCAAATCTGAGAGGTAGAGAACCTTAGTACATAGACATAGATATAGGACAAGTTGGCATCCAAGTGACAAGTTAAAATTTTGGGATTAGATAAAATCGTCTAGGGAAATTGAAAATAGTAAAACCAAGATGTGGGCCAATGACAGAACTCTCTGGGTGGCCCATTCTGTTTCTTGGTAAACTCAGTGTACTTTTCTTACCAAGCCCTGAAAGCAGGAACTATTTTCTCTGCTACTGTATTGGATGACTCATTATTTCCAATTATACCTCTGAGTATTCTGTAAGCTCTCATTTAATGTAAAATTTCATTACTCCTGATAACTACATTATGGTTCATTTGTACCGTTAGCAACTTCTGTATAATCTGTCCAGTATTGACATGTGACAATAAGGATCCATATAAAGAAAATCTAGTTATTTTACATTATGCTGTCATTTCCTATAAGTATTAAATCATATGAGTGAGTAATAAAATTTCACTGGCCTAGTCTATGGATTACATAGCTCTCAGATATTATGTAACTGCAATTCATTGTAGAGGTGTCAAAGTTTCCTTTTCTGTAAGAAGGACCAAAGCCTATAATGTGCTTATGCAGACATTATGGGTAGTGGTCTTAAATTTTATTCTTGAATTGATTGCTGCCTTTTGGACCTTAAGAAGTTATTTTGCTTTTAAAAGATTTTCCATCATTATTTTCATCTCTAACTAGCAAAGTAGTAACTTTTTTTGTTTGATTTGTTTTGTTTGAAATCATTCTAATTTCTACAATACATGAAAGCAGGTACCCATTTACCATATTTAGCTCATTCACTATCTGGATAGTCAGTGTCTAGAACAGTGCCTAAAATATAGTCTTGATTAAGTTGTTGAATGAATGGACCAATGAATGAGTGTTCTTCCTTAAATTATAGATCCCTATTCTATATATGATATCCTTACTAGATCAACATGTGAGCTCCTTTAGATAGTCCTGCTCTTTCAGTGTGACACCACCCACAGTCATAAGACCCAAGCTGGGTCAATCAGAAACCCTTCCAATGAGAACTGGAAATTGTAACCAAGAATATTCAAATTCTGTGTGAGTTAGTTTCTTGACCACTTAGGTACTAGAAGACAGCCATCTGTTGCCTTGTGTTTTGAGTATCAGAGAGAGCTGCTTTCTGTGTGTGGAGCCAACAGAAGAAACAGATAACAGAGAAAGAGAGCCTGCAGCCAAAATTACTAATAAGGGAATCATTCATTTTGTGATTCCAGTCTTCTCCTGAAGACTGGTTGCATTTCAGTTATTGAGTCTAGAAGGTACTTCTGGAATTTTATAGTGATTTCTGCTTCTCTTCTTAAACTAGCTAGATTTGTTTTCCTTTTCTATAACTAAAATGCCTCATCTAGTACATCTGCCAAGATCTCAAGAGGACAGCAAAAGTGTGCCTTTGAAATTGGATCGAAGATGTGCTTATATATAATCTAAAAGGAGTTTATAATGTTTTGGAGATACTTCCTTAATCTTTGTTAGATATACTTTGTTGGAATACTTTAAAATGCTTTCTTCTGAAGATGTTTTTATTATAGCAAACTTGATTCTTATCTCTCTAAACACCTTTCAAACCAGCTTTGTGGTAACCTCCAGTTTTTGCATTTCTTTTTGGAAAAAATATCTAGTTGACAGTGTTTGACATTCGACCCCTGCAGCATCACATAGTTGGCTAGAAAAAGACCCTAAAACGTATTTAGTGCGTAATTTATCACAGTTACAAGGTTAAGGCGTATAATAGAAAACAGCAATGCATAAAAATTGCAGACTTTGCGCTATTGTCGTACGTTATGTGAACTCTAAAACACAATGAACTGTAGCAAGCAATGGGAATGAACTATAAGACCTTTACCCTCATTAGAATTCTTAGGCACTTTCTCTCTTTTGTCATACCATTGGTCTTCCTCGCTTCTGCTGGCATTCGATAACTCAGGGCTTCTAAAAAGGTGCTGACCTACCAGCTCTTAAACCCTAAATTTATTTCTTTTTGTGTTTTATATATTCACTTTCGACAAATAAGTACTAAGTGTCAACTGAGTGTAAAGCAATGTGTTATGTAATGCAGAGTATATAAAAGGAGTATTAATATCTATCTTCATTCATTGCTATAATAGGTAATAACATATAATCTGTGGCTTGACTTTAGATTTGTATGAATAGTTTTGGAAATATTGTGTATTAAAATTATAAAGAGATAAATTGATTGAACAGTTGATGCGTTGACCTGAAAATTTACAATACCAGTGATTCATTCTGACGTATGTTTAGTCTAAATCCATTGCCGTTGAGTCGATTTCAACTCATTGTGACCCTATAGGATAGAGGAGAACTGCCTCAGGGTTTCCAAGGAGCAGCTGGTGGATTTGAACTGCTGACATTTTGATTAGCAGCCATAGCTCTTAACCACTGCATCGCCAGGGCTCCAGTTTGCTATAGTCTAGAAACCTTAAATCTTAATGATTATACAGTTCTTTTATTACTAAAAATAAATCAGAAAATAATACATTAAGACATCTTTTAAAATTAGCAGCATTACTACTCTATTATTGATAGCAAAAGGCAGTGACTTTTAAGAAGTCAGAAAGTACAGGTTTTTAAAGCAAAAAGATAACCAATTTGGTACTTTTTCTCAGAAAATAATGCATATGTTATGAGAATGTAACAAATGTTGAAAAACAATCAGCTTTTATTGATTTGTCAGAGTTAAAGGGAAGTTTTTTTTAAAAATGTAAGAAATGTTGTTAGTTGCTGTTGAGTCGATTCTGACTCATAGCGACCCCATGTGTGCAGAGTAGAACTGCTCCATTTTCAAGGCTGTGATTTTTCAGAATCAGATCTGCAGGCCTTTCTTTTGA